TCAGGTTTTTAAGTCTTTGAGGGTTCAACACAGCATTTAGCAATGTTTGTGTTAATTAAACCCTAATAAATAAGAAAATAATAAAAAGAAATTAGTATATAAACACACAAAATGATTATTTTAGTTTAATAATGTCTATTTTACAATTATAATCTCAAAAAAGAATGAATAAAAAAGTATTTTATAGTAGGAAGTAGATAGGCGATTAGGCGACGAGAGCCTCAAAGGACGCCTTGTCGCCTAGGTGTCGCCTTAAACCTTTTTTAAGGCTAATACCAAAACTAACTGTTTTAAATGTTAAACAATGCTTAAACCTACCCCCTTCCTATTTTTGGAAAAGAAAAACTAGAAAAGTGGCATGTGTGTGGTATAAAGTACCAATACAACCCTTCAACTGTATCAGGGTGTATCAATACTTTGAACCTTGCACGAGACTTATAGTTGAAGACTTGTGGGGCAGTACTACCCCTCATTATTACTAGTGCTCCTCTCAATTGTACGGAAAAAAATAGGTATATAAATTGTTGTCGAAATGGGCCTTGGTTTTTATTTACTGTTGTACCATTATATTGTTATGTCATAAATCATAATGGACCATGGTCCATTTTTATTTCTTTTTACAGTTGCTGCTGCCCTTACTTATTAAGGGTAAAGATGCATTTTTTTTGTAGGTTTAAAGATCATATTTAAGTGAGTGGGACAGCACCATGTTACCCACGATTTGGTCTTCCTCAAGCCCTTTTTCTCCTCTCTTCTCTCCTTTCCTTTCTATCTATCGAGTGTTGTAGCACCCTTAAACCTCTCTTTATTATTTTGTAGGTTTACAGATCATATTTAAGTGAGTGGGACAGCACCATGTTACCCACAATTTGGTCTTCCTCAAGCCCTTTTTCTCTTCTCTCTTCTCTCCTTTCTCCTTTCTATCTATCGAGTGTTGTAGCACCCTTAAACCTCTCTTTATTATTTTTTTTATTCTTTTGTTAAGCTTTGATCACCAACTTGGTATCAGAGCAGGGGGTTTCCTTTCCCTCTTGTTTCTCTTTTCCCAAGCAATACTAGGATCAGCCATCGCATGGGATGTTAAAGGGATGATCAGAACCTGTTTCTCCTGCCTGGTTTATTCTTACTTACTTTTGCTGCTGTTTGCCATGCCTTAGAAATCACTCAGAGGTCCTGCCCAAAACAAGACAAACCAAAGAACCAGTTTTTGAGTTGAAGGTTAAAGAGACTGTTTGTAAGTGGCCCCCACATTAAGATAAGTCTTAAAGACTGTTTGCAAGTGGCGCCCAAATTAAGATAAGTCTCTCCTATCTTTTCAGTGAGATTGACAGCCTTTCTGGGGGATTTTTTTGTGTTTGAACTCTGAAGTGATCAACGGTACTATTTCTCCTTCCAGATTAAAGTTAACCCTGCTACTAGTCACTGGAAGTATTGACTGAATTTTTATTCTTGTTTCTTTGGGAGTTATGTGAATCTCTATTATCCTAATAAAACCGTCTGGAATGATTTCAAACAAGTGCTTGACCAAGCTGGTTCTTAGGAATGCTGGTATGTTTCCCAATGTATCCATCACCTGTGTACAGTTGGTGGAACTAATTAATTGGAGTGGTCACAATCTATTAAAATATATATTGGTGGGCATGGGAAGATTGGTTATATAAGTGGAGAAACTAAAAAACCTGCATCCGCTAACTCTTCTCATGCAGAATGGGTGCAAGAAAAGTATATGATGCCATGGCTTATTAATTACATACAGCCACACATCAGTCGGAATTATTAGTGGGCTAAAACTTCAAAAGATATATGGGATGGTGTTGTTGAAACCTATTCCCAAGCATTAAACATTGCAAGGGCTTATCAATTTAGAAGAGAAGTCAATTGAATTGAGGAATTTTAGCTTTTAGATATTTAGGTCATTGTTTGGTTGTGGGCTGATTGTTTATGCCTTTTGGAGTGTTTCTTTTGGTTTGTTCCTCTAAGGGATTTAGGATGGGTAAATGTTTGTTTCTTTTATCTCTTGGGTGATTCCTTATCACCTTCTTTGTACTCTCTTTTTCATTTTAATAAATTTTTATCTTTACTACAAAAAATCAAGTGAAGTCAATATTTATCTTTCCATAGACCAATCTGCCCAATATCACACTGAGAAGTGAGAACACCTATTTACACCCCACAGGATCCTTTCCTTCAGGTAGGTAACTTTGCCTTTTAGAAATGTCAAATGTTAGGGGTGTCTTCTAAGATCCTTATGCTAGTAATACAAGAAGTTGGAAACTTGGCAACTTAGGTAACTTCGCTTATGCCTCCTTTTTCAAGGCCATTGCTCCAATAGACCAAACTTTTCAAGTCTTTCCAGTTAAGGTAGTGTGGCTGTGTTCCACATCCTAAAATCTAAGGGCCTCATGTTGGGCAAGTCTTTCATCTAAAGATAAATACTTGTGAAGCTCTTTCAAGAAGAAGAGAAAATTAGGTTTTATAACCACGTATATGCTTTCTATGTAATGCAAGCTCACCACCTTCAATTTACAAATCTCCTATTTTTTTGTACATATTATGTTGGAACTTTTTTCTGCTTTAATTTACTTATCCACAATGCCAGATACACACTTTATTTCTACCAACTTTTTTCTCCCAAAGAAAGAAAAGAAAATCATGTAGAGGTGTGCAAGAGCAACCATATTATGGAAAATCTGGGAAAAAAATGATTGGATTTTTCAAGATAACATCAATCTAGAGAACCACCAAGTGTCCTAATTGAAATCAGAGTTAATCACAGGATGAAGACATGAGGCATACTTTCATGCTCTTCTACAGATGCATCAATAGAAGGTATTTGGTGGCATCAACATCAACAGTAAGAAAGAACTTCGATGGCTGTAATATTGGAAACCCTGGGCAATGAGATGTAGGAGGGGTACTTAGGGACCATGAACATAATTAACTGGTTTTCTCAGGATAAATTGGAGTTGGAATTCTATTAGAGAAGACACCTGATCCATCTGCCAGAAGCAGATCCATTTTGGATACCTCAATCTTCTAACTCATTTGCTGTTTCCCAGTCTCTTGAGTAAATCAGTAGGCAGGTTCTGATTTTGGGAATATACCCATTGAAATAGAGGACAGTCTCTGTTTTATCTAAGGGACTCTTTCCAGGACAAAGGGTGAGCAGCATCGGGGTAGCTCGTATAGAACTGTGAATGTATGTATAGAGATTTTACAGTTTTTAAAACTACACAGTACACTTTCAACGCCATTAATAAAATCATGCCAATTTCCAATCAAAAAATAATAATAAAGAACCATCTTGTCTGTACTACTGCAATAGTGCAATATAGTAAACTCATGCATATTGATGTCATCTACATACATGCAATCTATCAAATATGTTTCTGCAGTTTTTCCCTCATGATGACAAATATGTAGGCTTGACCTTATTTAATAAACCTAGCTTGTAGTCCAGACAACAAATTATAAGTACCTTTTGTAGCATTGATCTAGTAGGGATCCACCGTCCAAGAGCAGGGTCAAACATTTCAACTTCCCAGAAACATTCAATTCCATTTCCACCACCGATTGCAAATATTTTGTTATCTAAAGTTGCACCTGCTAAATTTCCCTTCTTCTCAATTAATGGTGGACAAAAAGTCCATTCATTATCCTCTGGGTTGTAACACTCAACTTCAGAAAGTAGGATTGAAATGTCAGTGTGTTGTAAAAAGAAAATAATATAAAATAAGAGGACAAAAAATCTAAGCAAAGAAAAACAGCACCTACCTGTGTCATACCACAAATTACCATTCCAGCCACCAAAAATGTAGACTTTACCATTCAATGTTCCTGCTGAAGCATATGAACGAACAGTGCTCATTGGCTTCAGAGGTATCATTTCATCCCTAAATAGTGAATAGGAATCCAAATTGGATAACCATGAACTTCCATCATATCCACCTACTATAAGTATTGAGCCATCAAGGCATGAATGTTGTCCATTTGGTTTAATTTCATTATCATCACATGACCCATTTATTGCTCCTTCACATCCACTGGGAGGATCTTGCTTAGATTCCAATTGTCTCACGCGATTCTGTAATTGTTGAATTTTGATTTCTGACTCTGCCTGGAATGCAGAAAATAAGTTCCATTCATTCAAGCAAATTGAGGATAAATACAATAGAATAAACAAATAGTATGCATACACCACGACTCATATTAAATGTATTGAAATAAGTAGAAATCTGCTGAATTAAAAAATATGAAAGAAAGTAGTTTCTTGAAGAGAGAAGGAAGAGAGAAGGAGAAAAAGAGAAGAAGAAAAGTTGAAAGAAAAGAGAGCAATAATCTGGCCGCCCCCTTCACTTATTATTTATACTAAAATAATAGAATAGTACAAAGACAACTATGCCCTTATAGGGCGGAAAAACATAAAACAGCACATATAACACTCA